CCCACATCCCACTCCCATCCCCCCAGATAACTTGTCTACCTTCACATCAACCCATCTATCAACTTCTAAATACATTTCATTGTCGCCGCCATCGCCATGATAACGACAACATCCTTCGCCACGGCGCTTCTCTTCCTCGTCGCGTCGCCACATGCGTCCGCCCGCATTATCGGAAGCAAACAAAGCTTCCCCGACACCCAGATTTCGATGGTCCACTGCACTGGCCCTAACGGCAACCTTACCTCCGAAATGTGGACCTACAGCAACCGCCTAAACGCTCCCTTCGGCAAACCCGATGTCGAGAACTTCCTTGTCACCAGTGGCGGCCATGTCCAATGGGAGGGACACACCAACTCGGACTGGTACATCGCTGAAGGCGCAGGCAGTGTCAGCCCCGAGGCACTTGTGGGCGGCGCCACGTACACCCCGTCTGCCTGCTACCGCGGCAATGGCGATCCCCAGGATGCCGGCAATGGCCGGATGTGCCAACTAATGTACAACTGCTACTATGAGCCCGACATTGTTCTCGAATACACCATCGGTTCCAAAACAAACGACCCGGAGAAGTTTAGCTCGTGGCTCGTTGGAGATGCTGTCACAATGGCCCTGACCGCGGCAGGTGAGCGTCAGACATAAGGGACTTGTGGCATCACCCCAGCAACTGTGAGACTCATTTCATTCTCTCTTGCTCCTCTGTAGGCATTCCCCAGGCGGGTCCCCTCCCTGTGCAAGCCCAGGCCGAGGTGACTCCCATGCCCGGCATCAAGGCAAAGGTCCTTTTCACGAACAACGATGGCAAGGGCGCGCTTTCCAACCTCGTGCTCACCGGCCGCAGAACCAACTACCCCAGCGACGCCTCATGGTGCCATGCCTGGGGCGGATGCGAGAACCCTCCAAACGGAGCGGGACCCGGCTGGCCAAACCCAACGGCGTCGGCTCCACAGCGCTTCGCGATTGGCGTTTACCAAGGGAAGGAGAAACTCAACACCGCCTCCATCAGCGTCGAGCTTCTTGAGGCACCTACAAATGGCGGTTCGGATTGCGCAAAGTTTAACGGCGTCGCCTCTGGCATCACCGCCGCCATTAGCGCGGCTTTCAGCGTATTGAATCCAGCGATGAGCGCCGCGGTCGGCGTCGGGTCGGGCTGGTTCGGGGCGGCTGGTGCGGTCTGTGGTTAATGAGTTCTGCGCCGCAAAGAAGAGACGTTTTTTTGAGTATGGCTTGGGGCAACCCGTCGGGTGTTATGGGGCGGGAGGTCGGGCGTCTTTTAGAGTTTGGGGATGATGAGTGGAGACCATAAAATTTTGTAGATAGTTCGCCTGTTAGAAATGGTTGGGTTTGGATTTTAAAAAATTTAGTTCGCCTGTTAGAAATGGTTGGGTTTGGATTTTAAAAAATAAATTTCAATTTCAATTCCGATATCAACGCAATTGCAACCAACTTTTGTACCAACAGGTAAAAGAACATAAAAGTAAAACCAATCGGTTTCAATGAATCAACATTTTCAACGCACAGTCATCGTGTCATAGAGTGTTCAATCCCATTAACAGCACCAAATGCGGTGTTCAACTCACCAAAAATTGTTGCGACTATGTCTGTATTCACTCTGTGTCCCCGGGGAAAGCAGAGAAAATAAAAATGAGGGCTTCAACCAAAACGGGACAGCTCATGGCTTCATCAGAGTTGGATGCAACACATTGAGACTCACAAAGCTTCACGAAGCACAAATGGAAACGTTATGAAAACGACCAGAAAGCAGAAGAAACACCATCGGAAAAGTGCAAAGTCAGCACTTTACTCATGGCAGACCGGTTCACCCCGACGTCAAAAATCAACGATATACACATAGAGAATCATTTCCCGACTAAGGCGAGGGGGGGGGGCAACGAGAAACGAATGACTTGTAGATGTAGCAAAAGAAGGAAGAAGAATGGGAACGCGTGGAGGAACGCGACTGCCCGCGTGAGGATCATACAGTATTGCTTCAAGCACTTCAAGCTCGAGTTCCGAAAGTTCGGATGAGCCGGGAAGCGTCAGCATATCCTTAATCGTTTCCATTGAAAATGGAATTCTCTGATATGCCCGATTATAAGTCGAAAAGCCGTGGTAATGGGGCGGAGAACTTGATGTCTCATCGTCGTTCGTCCATGTGTGGATACCCAAGGCGCTTCCGTTCTATCCATCGTGCGCATGGTAGCATGGAGAATTTGTTTCAGGACTTGCATCTTGGAATTAGCAAAAACGGGTTGAAAGAAGTGGCGGCTGGCATATGTCTCTGAATATTCGGGGGCAACGCAGTTGGTTCAGTTTAGCGCACACGTCAGGGCCGAACTCCTTTTTCGCGCACCCAGTTTTCCCTTTTGAGGATTCAATCGTTGCATGATTTTAAAGCTTTACGTACATTCATGTTTGCATTTGTAAATGTCCAGGTTCGACGAATGTTGGATTGAATGTTGAAATCAAATCACAAAATGCGGAAGGAAACCGCGCGCGCAGTTTAAAAGACTCACTCCCCGCGTGTCCCCTGTTTACCGATAGATTTGAGGCCGATGGTTTCTCACGGAAACCGTGGGTGACTTCAAACTGAATCTTTGTTAAATAATGCCCATTCTGTACTGGAGGGGTAGTATCCGCAGTCCCAGCGTAAAGCACGGCACAAACATGATAAGAAGGATCATGGAGCTAGCACTCGGATATGACACGAGGAGTTCCAGAAGGGATCCAGTCCCAGTATCCAACCAAATAAGGATTTGATTTTGTGTGCCAGTGGCATGGGTTGGATACGGAGAATGGCACAGGAGGTAAAAAGCTTCGTCGCAGGGGCTAAATCCACGACTTGTGCAATAAAAGCCCTCTGACAAGGAACCGTCCATATTCTGTCTATACCACCCGCCTTTCGCACATGGTTTAAAATGGGAGGGACCTTTGCGAAGCTCCTCTCCGCTTATGGCTTCTCCAACGTCCAGAAAGAGGCAAAACCTGAAGTGGCAAAAAACGATGACCGATTCCGCGACCTACCTCGCCGTCATCTTTTTGACAACTGCCACCCTCATCCCGCTTCTCCGCCGCCTTCTCACCAAATTCTCTACCTCCCTTCGCCGAAAGGCTACTCCCGTGGAAACCATAACCGATCCGCCCACCGCCCGCCATATCCTCCAAACTAGCTCTCTCACATCCCGCGCGCGTCCCAATGCCCGACTCATCGGGACGTTTGGGATATGCAACCCGTTTACCCATCCCGACAAGGCGTACCGTAATGCGTTTCATGGCGTGGTGCAGGAAGGGATGATGTGTGTGGAGTGGAGAAAGGTTGCGAGGATGGCCGGTCAATGCGTTGCGGCGTTTCTGGCTGGAAACAAAGGAGAGTGTGATACTGATGGCATTGCGACGGTGTCGGTAACGGAGATGGTTCGGTGCGTTTGTTGGGATGTTGTGGTGGGTGGTCTTGTTGGGTACGATCTGGGCGGAGTTGACGGGAGTGGGACGGATTCGGATTTGACGGGGCGGGTGACGCATGCTGTTGACCGGTTGTGGAGGGTGTCAAAGGGTGAGAAAATTGGGGAGGGTGAAGAGCTAAAAAGGGTTATTGAGGAGTATTTTGCTCGGGTGGAAGGATTTGGGAGGCCCAAGCCTGTCGAGATGTTGCGATCCATCGCAATGGAGCACGAGGACGGACGAGGAGACAAGACGTCGCCCTTGAACCTCATCATCCCCGCCTACGAAACACTATGGCGGGTCATCCTTTTCGCCATCCTCGAACTTCAAATCCGACCTTTCTTGGCAAGTCACCCAGCACAGTGTACGCATACCCCATCCACGCTTACAGCGGACGACTGCGCATCCTTCCTCGCCAACCCCACCGGGCAGTCTTTGCGCACAACACACGCCAACCTCCACAACACCCTCCGCGAAATCTTGCGACTCTACCCGCCCACGAAGCACATCCACCGCGAAGTTCCTAACCCTCGCGATTCCACCAGATCGCAGCGCCGGCACATCGATATCGAACATATCCACCGCGATGCTGCAATCTGGGGTCCCACATCCCACGTTTTCGACCCACGCGGTTTACACACCTCACTTCAAAGCAAAAGGAGTTCTTCATGCCGTTTTTGGTGGGATACATGCAGTGTATTGCGCAACGCGAGTTCGCGCCCATGTTGGTGGCAATTTTTATCGCAGCGTTTGTGAGTCGGGTGCGGGTTGTGGATGTCGAAGGGGAGGTGCCGGAGGTGGGCGAGAATGGATTGTTTGTGAATGGGAGGGGGTTCGGGGATGGAGTGAGGGTGCGGTGCGGTCTGGTGTGAGTAAAAGGAGCAGTGCTGCACACTTCTCATATTTGCCTGGCATCGTGTAAGCACAGATTTGTCGCAGGGGGAAGGTGGTAAAAGCATTCAAAGGAGAAAGCATCTTGAAAGTCTTAAATAGATAATGCGCTTATCTTGAAGAAGTGGCAGAGCAACGACGAGTACGAAATAAAAGAAAAAGCAGGCAGCAAAGTGGCACTGCCTTCATTTGACCCGTCGCCAATTCGAGGACGTTTGCCACATATGCACGTTTTAATGCAGCCAAACAGGTTGCGAAATGGTAAAGCAGAATCAATTAAATGTACCATTCTTCTTTGCGCACCTGACCACTGGACATGATCGAGTTGCGGGGTGGAGCAAGCTGTGAAGAGCAGCAGCGGACACAAATAAAAATAATCTGCACACCCCTACCTAGGCCGGGTTCGTCGTATTTGTTTGCTTCCTGTGCTGCGTCGCCGTCAGCAGGCTAGAAAAAGAAATGCAGGCAGCAGGGCCTTGGAAAAGATACACGTCCCACCGAGATTTGAACTCGGGTCGCCAGATTTCTATCACCCCGATGGGGCCCTTCAGAGTCTGGGTGATGAGCAGCTACACTATGGAACGTTACGGAGATTCACAACGCTCGGATAATGGTGAGCTTGAAAGATTCAGATGAGCATCCCGCCGAAAAGCTGCCGTTCCATGTGGGAAGTTTCGCCGTTCAGCTACATTGTGCGCCATCCTGTGCGCAAAGTCCAGGGGAGTCAAAGATTGACTGCGTCCACTGTTATCCTCAGTTGGATGTACGTGAAATATACTTCGACGGGCACCCATAAATTCATATCTGGCCGGCATGCTCCGTCATTGTAGTCCCACCGATATCGGTCTCTTGCACATATCTTTCCGTTGTTTACTGCTCGGCTGTCTAGGTTGGCAGTCTCACGACTCGCAGGTCATTGGAGAGTTACACGCCCCAAATCACCACACAACTAAGTGACATGCTCTGAACGTCAAGCTTGTCGGTCCAGACCGCAGTTCAGTAGCGGGTTGCACCATATTTTTTCGTTCTTGACTGCAAAGGACACGCGGACTGTTCTACAGGAAGAAAAGCTACGGCGCGCTGTTCGACTGTGGACAAACTCACGACGGTATCCAAATACCAGGACCCTAACGGCCGCTGTACGTACATAGAATGGAGAAGGACGCTTTCGTCTTTACTACACCATAATTACGTTTCAACTCTATTTATCTGGATGAATTTTTCGGGGGCTTTGGTCTGATTTGATTTCAGGCCGATTGAGATCAAAAAAGGAAAGGGCTACGCGCGAAGTCATGAACCATCTGGGACGGTATCCGAGACTTTCGTCGGGACAGAGCAACCAACAACAATAAACAGAACGGGCAAAATCAGCGACGCGGAGATGAAAAGTGGTATCCAAATGGATAAACCCGACACTTTCCATTTATAATGTGTGGAGAAGACCTCATTGGCTTGGGCACGTGCTGACCTAATTGGCGAAAAGGGTGCAGGGCCGCCGCGCAAACTACGAAACCATCGCAAGAGAGCACTTATATAGGACTGCGGAAGGTACCTTTCCAACCCAAATCCATGTGATTTCACTGCTCTCGGTTTTTTTTGTGCCCATCAGAAAGTATAATTACGGCTTCTCGGGTCATGAGATGAACCAAAAGTGTCTGTCGCTCCCGGCGGCAAAAAAAACTCAGCTTTGGGGGGGGGG